CACCACACACCATGACTGTCACCATCCTCCTCACCACACACCATGACTGTCACCATGTTCCTCACCACACACCATGACTGTCACCATCCTCCTCACCACACACCATGACTGTCACCATCCTCCTCACCACACACCATGACTGTCACCATCCACCACACCACACACCATGACTGTCACCATCCATCTCACCACACACCATGACTGTCACCATCCTCCTCACCACACACCATGACTGTCACCATCCACCACCTCACCACACACCATGACTGTCACCATCCTCCTCACCACACACCATGACTGTCACCATCCTCCTCACCACACACCATGACTGTCACCATCCTCCTCACCACACACCATGACTGTCACCATCCTCCTCACCACACACCATGACTGTCACCATCCTCCTCACCACACACCATGACTGTCACCATCCTCCTCACCACACACCATGACTGTCACCATCCTCCTCCTCACCACACACCATGACTGTCACCATCCTCCTCACCACACACCATGACTGTCACCATCCTCCTCACCACACACCATGACTGTCACCATCCTCCTCACCACACACCATGACTGTCACCATCCACCACCTCACCACACACCATGACTGTCACCATCCTCCTCACCACACACCATGACTGTCACCATCCTCCTCACCACACACCATGACTGTCACCATCCTCCTCACCACACACCATGACTGTCACCATCCACCTCACCACACACCATGACTGTCACCATCCTCCTCACCACACACCATGACTGTCACCATCCTCCTCACCACACACCATGACTGTCACCATCCACCACACCACACACCATGACTGTCACCATTCACCTCACCACGCACCATGACTGTCACCATCCTCCTCACCACACACCATGACTGTCACCATCCACCACCTCACCACACACCATGACTGGCACCATCCTCCTCACCACACACCATGACTGTCACCATCCACCACCTCACCACACACCATGACTGTCACCATCCTCCTCACCACACACCATGACTGTCACCATCCACCACCTCACCACACACCATGACTGTCACCATCCTCCTCACCACACACCATGACTGTCACCATCCACCACACCACACACCATGACTGTCACCATCCTCCTCACCACACACCATGACTGTCACCATCCACCACACCACACACCATGACTGTCACCATCCTCCTCACCACACACCATGATTGTCACCATCCTCCTCACCACACACCATGACTGTCACCATCCTCCTCACCACACACCATGACTGTCACTATCCTCCTCACCACACACCATGATTGTCACCATCCTCCTCACCACACACCATGACTGTCACCATCCTCCTCACCACACACCATGACTGTCACCATCCACCTCACCACACACCATGACTGTCACCATCCTCCTACTTAAATATCCCCAATATTATCCCCCACCACATACACACCTCACCTTTCTACCGAGTGACAAAAGGGGGTGTTTCCCCAAGGACTCGTACCCTCGGGGCTCGAACACGGACCCGGGAGGCGGTAAAGCCGTGGCGAGCACTGACCTTGAGGGAGAAGGTGTCGAGTCTGATGTTGTAGGCGAGGGAGGCCTCGTAGTGGGCGTGTCCCGGGGCGGTGTGTAGGTGCACCTGGTACACCACCTCGCTCACCGCTGTCTCGTCCGTCAGGTCCGGCACGAACCCGTCCGTGTCCGCGTTCTTCTTGTACGCTGGTGAGTCACGGGTACTGGTGAGTCACGGGTACTGCTACTGGTGACGGGTACTAGGTACACGGGTACTGGTGAGTCACGGGTACTGGTGAGTCACGGGGTGAGTCACGGGTACTGCTGAGTCACGGGTACTGGTGAGTCACGGGTACTGGTGAGTCACGGGTACTGGTGAGTCACGGGTACTGGTGCTGAGTCACGGGTACTGGTGAGTCACGGGTACTGGTACTGAGTCACGGGTACTGGTGAGTCACGGGTACTGGTGAGTGACACTGGTGAATCACGGGTACTGGTGAGTCACGGGTACTGGTGAGTCACGGGTACTGCTGAGTCACGGGTACTGGTGAGTCACGGGTACTGGTGAGTCGGGTACGGGTACTGGTGAGTCACGGGTACTGGTGAGTCACGGGTACTGGTGAGTGACTGGTGAGTCACGGGTACTGGTGAGTCACGGGTACTGGTGTCACGGGTACTGGTGAGTCACGGGTACTGGTGAGTCACGGGTACTGGTGAGTCACGGGTACTGCTGAGTCACGGGTACTGGTGAGTCACCTGGTGAGTCACGGGTACTGCTGAGTCACGGGTACTGGTGAGTCACGGGTACTGCTGAGTCACGGGTACTGGTGCAGTGAGTCACGGGTACTGGTGAGTGAGTCACGGGTACTGGTGAGTCACGGGTACTGGTGAGTCACGGGTACTGGTGAGTCACGGGTACTGTACTGTGTCACGGGTACACGGGTACTGGTGAGTCACGGGTACACGGGTACTGGTGAGTCACGGGTACTGGTGAGTCACGGGTACTGGTGAGTCACGGGTACTGGTGAGTCACGGGTACTGCTGAGTCACGGGTACTGGTGAGTCACGGGTACTGGTGAGTCACGGGTACTGGTGAGTCACGGGTACTGGTGAGTCACGGGTACTGGTGAGTCACGGGTACTGGTGAGTCACGGGTACTGGTGAGTCACGGGTACTGGTGAGTCACGGGTACTGGTGAGTCACGGGTACTGGTGAGTCACGGGTACTGCTGAGTCACGGGTACTGCTGAGTCACGGGTACTGGTGAGTCACGGGTACTGTACTGTGAGTCACGGGTAGTCACGGGTACTGGTGAGTCACGGGTACTGGTGAGTCACGGGTACTGGTGAGTCACGGGTACTGGTGAGTCACGGGTACTGGTGAGTCACGGGTACTGGTGAGTCACGGGTACTGGTGAGTCACGGGTACTGGTGCCGTGAGTCACGGGTACTGGTGAGTCACGGGTACACGGGTACTGTACTGGTGGGGTGAGTCACGGGTACGGGTACTGGTGAGTCACGGGTACTGGTGAGTCACGGGTACTCACGGGGTGAGTCACGGGTACTGGTGACACGGGTACTGGTGAGTCACGGGTACTGCTGAGTCACGGGTACTGGCTGCGGTGAGTCACGGGTACTGGTGAGTCACGGGTACTGGTGAGTCACGGGTACTGGTGAGTCACGGGTACTGGTGAGTCACGGGTACTGGTGAGTCACGGGTACTGGTGAGTCACGGGTACTGGTGAGTCACGGGTACTGGTGAGTCACGGGTACTGGTGAGTCACGGGTACTGGTGCTAGGGTGAGTCGGGTACTGCTGGTGAGTCACGGGTACTGGTGTACTGCTGGGGTGAGTCACGGGTACGGTGGTGTACTGCTGCGGTGTCACGGGTACTGCTGAGTCACGGGTACTGGTGAGTCACGGGTACTGGTGAGTCACGGGTACTGGTGAGTCACGGGTACTGGTGAGTCTGGGGTGAGTCGGGTACTGCTGCGGTGAGTCACGGGTACTGGTGAGTCACGGGTACTGGTGAGTCACGGGTACTACTTGGGTGAGTCACGGGTACTACTGGGTGAGTCACGGGTACTGCTGGGGTGAGTCACGGGTACTACTTGGGTGAGTCACGGGTACTGCTGGGGTGAGTCACGGGTACTGGTGAGTCACGGGTACTGCTGAGTCACGGGTACTGGTGAGTCACGGGTACTGGTGAGTCACGGGGTGAGAGTCACGGGTACTGGTGAGTCACGGGTACTGGTGAGTCACGGGTACTGGTGAGTCACGGGTACTGGTGAGTCACGGGTACTGGTGAGTCACGGGTGAGTCACGGGTACTGGTGAGTCACGGGTACTGGTGAGTCACGGGTACTGGTGAGTACTGGTGAGTCACGGGTACTGGTGAGTCACGGGTACTGCTGAGTCACGGGTACTGCTGAGTCACGGGTACTGGTGAGTCACGGGTACTGGTGAGTCACGGGTACTGGTGAGTCACGGGTACTGGTGAGTCACGGGTACTGGTGAGTCACGGGTACTGGTGAGTCACGGGTACTGGTGAGTCACGGGTACTGGTGAGTCACGGGTACTGGTGAGTCACGGGTACTGGTGAGTCACGGGTACTGGTGAGTCACGGGTACTGTGAGTCACGGGTACTGGTGAGTCACGGGTACTGTGAGTCACGGGTACTGGTGCGTCACGGGTACTGTGAGTCACGGGTACTGTCACGGGTACTGGTGAGTCACGGGTACTGGTGCCGTGAGTCACGGGTACTGGTGCCGTGAGTCACGGGTACTGCTGAGTCACGGGTACTGGTGAGTGGCGGGTACTGGTGAGTCACGGGTACTGGTGAGTCACGGGTACTGGTGAGTCACGGGTACTGGTGAGTCACGGGTACTGCTGAGTCACGGGTACTGGTGAGTCACGGGTACTGGTGAGTCACGGGTACTGGTGAGTCACGGGTACTGGTGAGTCACGGGTACTGGTGCGTCACGGGTACTGGTGCGTCACGGGTACTGGTGAGTCACGGGTACTGGTGAGTCACGGGTACTGGTGAGTCACGGGTACTGGTGAGTCACGGGTACTGGTGAGTCACGGGTACTGCTGAGTCACGGGTACTGGTGAGTCACGGGTACTGCTGAGTCACGGGTACTGGTGAGTCACGGGTACTGCTGAGTCACGGGTACTGGTGCAGTGAGTCACGGGTACTGGTGAGTCACGGGTACTGGTGAGTCACGGGTACTGGTGAGTCACGGGTACTGGTGAGTCACGGGTACTGGTGAGTCACGGGTACTGCTGAGTCACGGGTACTGGTGAGTCACGGGCACTGGTAAGTCACGGGTACTGGTGAGTCACGGGTACTGGTGAGTCACGGGTACTGGTGAGTCACGGGTACTGGTGAGTCACGGGTACTGGTGAGTCACGGGTACTGCTGCCGTGAGTCACGGGTACTGGTGAGTCACGGGCACTGGTAAGTCACGGGTACTGGTGAGTCACGGGTACTGGTGAGTCACGGGTACTGGTGAGTCACGGGTACTGGTGAGTCACGGGTACTGGTGAGTCACGGGTACTGGTGAGTCACGGGTACTGGTGAGTCACGGGTACTGGTGAGTCACGGGTACTGGTGAGTCACGGGTACTGGTGCGTCACGGGTACTGGTGCGTCACGGGTACTGGTGCGTCACGGGTACTGGTGAGTCACGGGTACTGGTGAGTCACGGGTACTGGTGAGTCACGGGTACTGGTGAGTCACGGGTACTGCTGAGTCACGGGTACTGGTGAGTCACGGGTACTGGTGAGTCACGGGTACTGGTGAGTCACGGGTACTGGTGCAGTGAGTCACGGGTACTGGTGAGTCACGGGTACTGCTGCGGTGAGTCACGGGTACTGCTGCGGTGAGTCACGGGTACTGGTGAGTCACGGGTACTGCTGCGGTGAGTCACGGGTACTGGTGAGTCACGGGTACTGGTGAGTCACGGGTACTGGTGCGTCACGGGTACTGGTGAGTCACGGGTACTGGTGAGTCACGGGTACTGGTGAGTCACGGGTACTGGTGAGTCACGGGTACTGGTGAGTCACGGTACTGCTGCGGTGAGTCACGGGTACTGGTGGGGTGAGTCACGGGTACTGGTGGGGTGAGTCACGGGTACTGCTGCGGTGAGTCACGGGTACTACTTGGGTGAGTCACGGGTACTGCTGGGGTGAGTCACTGGTACTGCTGAGGTGAGTCACGGGTACTGCTGCGGTAAGTTACGGGTAATGGTGGGGTGAGTCACTGGTACTGCTGGGGTGAGTCATGGGTACTGCTGCGGTGAGTCACGGGTACTGTGAGTCACGGTACTGCTGGGGTGAGTCACGGGTACTGGTGAGTCACGGGTACTGTGAGTCACGAGTACTGCTGGGGTGAGTCACGGGTACTGCTGGGATGAGTCACGGGTACTGCAGGGGTGAGTCACGGGTACTGCTGCGGTGAGTCACGGGTACTGCTGCGGTGACTCACGGGTACTGCTGCGGTAAGTCACGGGTACTGCTGCGGTGAGTCACGGGTACTGCTAGGGTGAGTCACGGGTACTGCTGGGGTGAGTCACGGGTACTACTTGGTTGAGTCACGGGTACTGCTGGGGTGAGTCATGGGTACTGCTGGGGTGAGTCATGGGTACTGCTGGGGTGAGTCATGGGTACTGCTGCGGTGAGTCACGGGTACTGCTGCGGTGAGTCACGGGTACTGCTGCGGTGACTCACGGGTACTACTTGGGTGAGTCACGGGTACTACTTGGGTGAGTCACGGGTACTACTTGGGTGAGTCACGGGTACTGCTGGGGTGAGTCATGGGTACTGCTGCGGTGAGTCACGGGTACTGCTGCGGTGAGTCACGGGTACTGCTGCGGTGAGTCACGGGTACTGCTAGGGTGAGTCACGGGTACTGCTGCGGTGAGTCACGGGTACTACTTGGGTGAGTCACGGGTACTACTTGGGTGAGTCACGGGTACTACTTGGGTGAGTCACGGGTACTACTTGGGTGAGTCATGGGTACTGCTGGGGTGAGTCATGGGTACTACTTGGGTGAGTCATGGGTACTGCTGGGGTGAGTCATGGGTACTGCTGCGATGAGTCACGGGTACTGCTGCGGTGAGTCACGGGTACTGCTAGGGTGAGTCACGGGTACTGCTGCGGTGAGTCACGGGTACTACTTGGGTGAGTCACGGGTACTACTTGGGTGAGTCACGGGTACTACTTGGGTGAGTCACGGGTACTACTTGGGTGAGTCACGGGTACTACTTGGGTGAGTCACGGGTACTACTTGGGTGAGTCACGGGTACTACTTGGGTGAGTCACGGGTACTACTTGGGTGAGTCACGGGTATCTGGGACAGATGAGTCACGGGTTCGAGACACCCGTCATTATAACATCATCCTACTACAATAAATACAGTATATAAATAATGGAAATACAATAAATAAAATCAGAACTCTCAAGGTATGAATTTTGAACAAAATTTTTATATATATTCATTATTAACTTTTCCAGACATGAATTGTCCAACCGGGTCAATGAAGAAAATATTAATAATAAATAATATCAGAGTTTTAATAGCACTTTGAAAATTCTCAAAATAAAACTCTACGGCGTCCGCCCTGAACATTTCACTTACACCGTCAGTCCATCCATCTGGTCCTCATAACTTACATTAGTGATATATACTCGCCTGCCAGCCGTTCAGGCGTTGGGAAATAGAGTTTAGACCAGGTGCGTAGAGGGACAGAGCCCGGGGGCAGGTGTGTGGGGTGATAGAGACCGGGGGCAGGTGTGGTGAGTGACAGAGCCCGGGGGGCAGGTGTGTGGAGTGACAGAGCCCGGGGGTAGGTGTGTAGAATGACAGAGCCCGGGGGCAGGTATGTGGAGTGACAGAGCCCGGGGGGCAGGTGTGTGGAGTGACAGAGCCCAGGGGCAGGTGTGTGGAGTGACAGAGCCCGGGGGAGCAGGTGTGTGGAGTGACAGAGCCCGGGGGAGCAGGTGTGTGGAGTGACAGAGCCCGGGGGAGCAGGTGTGTGGAGTGACAGAGCCCGGGGGAGCAGGTGTGTGGAGTGACAGAACCCGGGGGGCAGGTGTGTGGAGTGACAGCCCGGGGGCCCCCCAGCAGACCCGTGTGAAGGGAGCTGACAGAACCCCCACAGCAGACACGTGTGAAGGGAGCTGACAGAAGCCCCACAGCAGACACGTGTGAAGGGAGCTGACAGAAGCCCCACAGCAGACACGTGTGAAGGGAGCTGACAGAAGCCCCACAGCAGACACGTGTGAAGGGAGCTGACAGAAGCCCCACAGCAGACACGTGTGAAGGGAGCTGACAGAAGCCCCACAGCAGACCCGTGTGAAAGGAGCAGACACATACCTTTAGTGGGAAGCAGCTTGCCGGCCCAGGTAACCTTGTGTATGGTGAGCTCGTGGCAGAGTGAGCGGTGAGGCGCCGTGTAGGTGTTGATGTAGTGCACCAGAGCAAGGGCTGCACGCTGCACACGCTCATCCTCCACGCTCACACGCTCCCAGCTCAAGCATGCGCACCAGTGAGGCTCTATGTACGCGTCTGCGCACGTCCGCGACGTCGGCACCTGTGCGCGCGACAGATAAAGTAATGTTATTATTAGTATAGTAGTATGAGGATTGTGGTGATGGTGGTGGTGGTGATGGGGAGGATTGTGGTGATGGTGATTGTTCTGCATTATGATAGGTGCCCTTCCATGTACTAGGTGACGGATTACTATGCTAGCTATCACTTGTGGGTGACTCAGTACATATTGTGCTGGTGACTGTGTTCTGGCGTCCCTTGCCAGCACAGGTAATGTTACCCAGGCACCCGTCCTCACGCAACACCTGCGAGAGACAGAGAGAGAGAGACAAAGAGAGAGAGAGAGAGAGAGAGAGAGAGAGAGAGAGAGAGAGAGAGAGAGAGAGAGAGAGAGAGAGAGAGAGAGAGAGAGAGAGAGAGAGAGAGAGAGAGAGAGAGAGAAACGACATTTTTTTTTCTAGGTCTCTCCTGGTCACTAAGGGGAGGTATGGAGAATTTAATTTTCTCGTATTCTTTTATTTATTTCATAATCGAGGGTAAACCTCGGTTATAAGGTATAGGAAGGTTGACCCTCAGGCAATATAAACTCCTCTCAACACAAACTGTGTTTATATATGTGTACATTAAGGAGATGTGCTGACCAGCACGTCTAGATCACGGTGCTGTGGCTTCCTTGTGTGTAGGATACTTAGGTTCAAGAAGGAGCAATCATTTATTTTATCCATTCTTGGCTTACTGGAGGCTTTCATAATATTATAGTTAGTTTCCTTGCATGTTGCAAGCAATCCTCTCCTGCTTAAGTGATGCAAAGTCCATTGCAGAGTAGCAGAAGGCATGAGGTTGCAAGGGTGCATTACTGATGTTGTTGTTGTAAAAGACCAGTTGAGTCAACACACAGCCATCATTACTTGTCATTCTCTTGACAAGTTACACGAAGGTTTGTTTGACGCGCGGCTGGGCCCACGCGGGCCGCCCTAACGCACACCACCACCCCGTGTTGCTCTTAACAATGTGTTAGTGAGCGGGTGTTAGCGGAGACAACCCGTTCCCCCCTTCCTGTAACCCCCTGTACCCCGTGTTAGTGAGCGGGTGTTAGCGGAGACAACCCCTCCCCCCCCTTCCTGTAACCCCCTGTACCCCCCACCCTCTCCACCCTCTCTTCCCCCCCCCCCCCCCGGCACACACACACGTGTGTGTGTGTGTGTAACCTTACTCATTCCTGTACTTGGCTTCAACACACAGCATCAATTTCAAACAAACCTATTCGTTACAGTAATGCCTCAGCCAAATATGTGAATGTCATTACTTTAACTACTCGACAGATGGAAGGGCGGGAGTGAGTAGCTGCTGCTGGAACCTCTAGACACAGCTAGGAGTTTATATATATATATATATATATATAACTAAAAACTCACACCCCAGAAGTGACTCGAACCCATACTCCCACAACTGGTATGTACAGGGACGCCTTAATCCGCTTGACCATCACGACCGGACAAGGTCAAGCGGATTAAGGCGTCCCTGTACATACCAGTTGTGGGAGTATGGGTTCGAGTCACTTCTGGGGTGTGAGTTTTCAGTTGTATATAGTCCTGGGGACCATTCAGGCTTGTTTGCATATATATATATATATATATATATATATATATATATATATATATATATATATATATATATATATATATATATATATATATATATATATATATATATATATGTATATATATATATATAGAAGCCTTCACAAGGAGTACTCATTAGCATACCTTGCAAACACAGTAACAACAACAGGGGGGGGGGGGACAGCAACAAATTACAAATATATTTAATATTACAAACGCAAAATGATTTTACAATGTAGCTGATCCTTGTGTCTGTCCTCAGCCTTACCTGTACCTTAACTGCACCAGACTTGTAATTTACTCACCTGTGCAGGTAATATGCGCCTCAGTTTATGGGTGCCAATATGTACCTTAATGTGTGGCTTGACAGGACCCTGACGGATATGCTGTACAGGTTACCTCGTGACTTTAGTGATGCGACCCCTGCTTTATGATGCCTCGTCGCTGACCTGCAGGTCTCTCCCATGTTGACCTGACCTTAAGCTCTGACCCTCCAGGCTGGGGAGGGTCACATCTTACCTCTCCTGGACCCCGATGTGGCTCTGCCGCCTAACCACTGCTCTCAATCATCTCCAGGGCGACCTAACTTGAGGCCAGCAAGCTGAGGGTGACCTGGCGCACTAAGGTCAGGTCACTAAGGTCAGCTGCAGCGTGCACACTCACCTGACTAAACAGTGAGATTGCTCTGTCCGAGACCTGGCCGAGCCGCGCCCCCTGGAAGTGGAGAACGTCCTGCATGGTGGGGAACAGGTCGAAGGGCGTGGTCAGCCGGTGGACGTTCATCCTGGGATTACATTATCTTTTAGTGTACAACATCCCGTACTGAATTAGCCCAGCTGGTCGTACTAACTGTTAAGTGTCTAATTGTTTAATTGCTGTGTTATTTACACATGTGTGAAGATTAGATATTTAATAATGACAGTTTTTTGGCAATTCTATTTGATAGTAAATGTTTAACATTGTCTTTATTTACTGCAAGCTTGTTAAGGACATGAATTTGATTACGTTCTTGTAGCCTAACCAGGAGAGGGAAAGGGAAGGGAATTGTCAGGGACAGCACCAAGCCATTACGACTATACAGCACTGGGAAGGGGTCAGCATAAGGATTTTCGGGATGGGACGGAGGGAAGGAATGGTGCCCAACCACTTGGACAGTCGAGGAAGGAGTCTGGGACAATTAAGCTGTCTACTGCAATACCTGTGAGTGTTATTTGAGTGGCCAAGAGGTCCATGTGACAGGGAGACTGTGCATCTACCCTGGCAGAGTAGGGACTAACATCTGAGGATATCTCGCACACCTCCACCTTACTGATACTCTGTAAACAACACAACACCCCCCCCTCCCCCCACCCCCCCCCCCCTCTTCTAAGGGGCATCTATCTCCCGAAATTAAAAAGTTCATAAATTTCAATTAAATTATTTTGAAAAAATAAAACTGGTAAAGCTTCCTAGTAAAGGTTTCAGCCCCGAAAGATTTATATTAGAAATATCAAATTATAAATCAAATTTTGGAGAAAACAAAAATTTAAAAATCAAAATCTAATACGAATTTCAACAAAATTTATATCTGTTATATTAAACTATCATAATAGTATCTAATCTTGATTTCGTCCACAGCGAACATTCAATATATGTCTACTTGCAGTAGACATATATTGTATATACACAAGTTATATAGAACAATATAACCTGTACGTGTGTGCAAGTGTTAGATATATAGTCAAAGTGAGTTTATACCGCGTGGACCCATAACCTCGGAGAAGAGAATACAAGGCATTGGAAGTGACCTGATGTTATCAGCGGCGGACGGGTAGGTGTCTGTGAAGGCCTTGGGGAGCACGATGGCCATCACGGGCAGGCGCTCCTCCTGCTTGCCCTGCTGGGTGCCCCTGATGGTGCTGAACCTGTCGAGAGTCACGCACCTGGACACGTCATACATACATACATCATACATACATACATACATACATACATACATACATCATACATACATACATACATACATACATACATACATACATACATACATACATACATACATACATACATACATACATACATACATCATATATACATACATACATACACACATACATACATACATCATACATACATACATACATCATACATACATACATACAAAATCAGGGGAATTGACAGGGTGGACAAAGACATACATGGAAACTTAGTACCCAGATGAGCCACAGAGACGTTAGAAAGAATTTTTTCACATGCACATGACTCCATACATACATACATACATACATACATACACATACATACATACATACATACATACATACATACATACATACATACATCATACATACATACATCATACATACATACATCATACATACATACATCATACATACATACATACATACTCAACACACTCCTAGCTACCAGCACAACACCAGTGGGACGACTAGTAGATGACCTCTCTACTGATGGACACTTTGAAGACTATAGGGGTTCAACTCTACGCTTAGTCTTATCTACTGTCTAGCCATGGTTAGTGCTGTTATCTACTGTCCAGGCATGGTTAGTGCTGTTATCTACTGTCCAGCCATGGTTAGTGCTGTTATCTACTGTCCAGCCATGGTTAGTGCTGTTATCTACTGTCCAGCCATGGTTAGTGCTGTTATCTACTGTCCAGCCATGGTTAGTGCTGTTATCTACTGTCCAGCCATGGTTAGTGCTGTTATCTACTGTCCAGCCATGGTTAGTGCTGTTATCTACTGTCTAGCCATGGTTAGTGCTGTTATCTACTGTCCAGCCATGGTTAGTGCTGTTATCTACTGTCCAGGCATGGTTAGTGCTGTTATCTACTGTCCAGCCATGGTTAGTGCTGTTATCTACTGTCCAGGCATGGTTAGTGCTGTTATCTACTGTCCAGGCATGGTTAGTGCTGTTATCTACTGTCTAGCCATGGTTAGTGCTGTTATCTACTGTCCAGCCATGGTTAGTGCTGTTATCTACTGTCCAGGCATGGTTAGTGCTGTTATCTACTGTCTAGTCATGGTTAGTGTTGTTATCTACTGGCCAGCCATGGTTAGTGCTGTTATCTACTGTCCAGCCATGGTTAGTGCTGTTATCTACTGTCCAGCCATGGTTAGTGCTGTTATCTACTGTCCAGCCATGGTTAGTGCTGTTATCTACTGTCCAGCCATGGTTAGTGCTGTTATCTACTGTCCAGCCATGGTTAGTGCTGTTATCTACTGTCCAGGCATGGTTAGTGCTGTTATCTACTGTCCAGCCATGGTTAGTGTTGTTATCTACTGTCCAGGCATGGTTAGTGCTGTTATCTACTGTCTAGCCATGGTTAGTGCTGTTATCTACTGTCCAGGCATGGTTAGTGCTGTTATCTACTGTCTAGCCATGGTTAGTGCTGTTATCTACTGTCCTGCCATGGTTAGTGCTGTTATCTACTGTCTAGCCATGGTTAGTGCTGTTATCTACTGTCCTGCCATGGTTAGTGCTGTTATCTACTGTGCAGCCATGGTTAATGCTGTTATCTACTGTCCAGCCATGGTTAGTGTTGTTATCTACTGTCCAGCCATGGTTAGTGCTGTTATCTACTGTCCAGCCATGGTTAGTGCTGTTATCTACTGTCCAGGCATGGTTAGTGCTGTTATCTACTGTCCAGCCATGGTTAATGCTGTTATCTACTGTCCAGCCATGGTTAGTGTTGTTATCTACTGTCCTGCCATGGTTAGTGCTATTATCTACCCTCTATCCATGGTTAAGTTAGGTTAAGATTATTTTAGGTTAAGGTTTGGTTAAGTATCATTACGTTTGGTAGCATTAATACGCTGTATTATTAACGATAATCTGAAATATGGTATTTGAAATCTATTTCAGTGTGCCGAAAATTCCGTTTATAGAAAACAAAATTCTTAAAAAAAAATGTTTTCAGCATACACATTTTACATTTTAAACCAACCATTTATAATACAATAACGTTGTAACTTGAGAATAACCTATTTGTTATTGAATATTTGTCAGCCAATATGTAGACTATTACTGGAACCATAATGTGATTTACAACCATCACAAGGGAGGCTTTGGCTTCACATGGTAATGGATTTGTACTGACAGAGGGCTTCTCTATCAGTTACCGATAGATTAAATGTACACAAATATCAACATATTCATCCGACATGTGTCGGATGAATATGCCAATTTTTCAAATTTGTATTTTACCAATACCACCCGCGCTAACTAGTCTACTTTTATCTACCATATAAATTTCCCTAAGAATTTTGTATGTGGTAATCATGTCTCCCATAACTCGTCTGTCTTCCTACAATGTGAGGTTCAATTCGTGTAGCCTTTTCTTGTAACTCATACCTAATGGTCTTGGAACTAGTCTGATTGCACCTTTGAACCTTTTACAACCTATTATTGTGCCTGACTAGATATTAGTATTGTGCTTGACTAGATACAGACGCCACACTGGAGCTGCATGCTGCAGGATTGGTCTGACATACGTAATATACAAGGTAGTGTGTGTGTGTGAAGGGACCTACCTGTGGCCATGATCGCTCATGACAACGAGGATGGTGTTGTTGAGGTGAGCGTCGCGCCTGAGGGAGGAGAGCAGGTCGAGCAGGTCCTGGTCCGCCACGGACACCAGGTTGAAGTCGTCGTGAGACAACTCCGAGTGGAAGGCGAAGGCAAACTTGGGCTCCGTCTTGTACTCGTTCATGAAGTCGTACACGTAGTTGAAGAACACCTGTCGAGTGTTTGGTAATATGTTTATTGTTTGTGATGGGTTTATATGTATGTATTAACACAATGTACTCAACAGGGTGAGAATAGCTTGAGCTGCCTCATCCCTTTGTGTGTATTTTACCTCAATAAACTTATTTCAATTTCAATTTCAACCATCAATTACTTAATTCTATGTGTAAAGGTACAACTTGAACATAAATATATTTTGTAATTTATTATGGACTTGTTGTATGAAATGTACAATTATCTCATCAGCTACCATCATTATGTCCGCAGGTTAACTAGGACAATACACGAGAGAACATTTTGTATTTTGTGATGAAGGATAATTAGAGATTACGACTAATGGATGTAAGAGAGTGCTACTAGGACAGGTGCCAGGGGGCCAGAGTTCATTAAGGATTTATGCAACCGCTTACGAAACCTGTACATCTTTTTTCCAAATCATGGTGGCTTTGTTTACCTTTATTAGACACCTTGAGGTCTGCGTCACTGCCAGGTTGTTTATAACAACCGCCACCTTGGGTTGTGATGTTTGTCTCTCTCTCCAGCCTGGTCTTAGTGTGAGGCTCCTAGTGACCTGTGCGCCGGCCCCAGGCTACTGACGAAGAGGCAGTGAAGCCACTACAGCCACGGGCTCACCATAGCCCGTGCTACTTGCACCGCTCCTGTGCCAGGTCAATCCACTACGGGCTCACCATAGCCCGTGCTACTTGCCCCGCTCCTGTGCCAGGTCAGTCCACTACGGGCTCACCATAGCCCGTGCTACTGGCAACTTTTGTTGCCAGTAACTGAGTGTACACCAATAAGACGCCACTGCAGGCTGAGAGAAGATAGTGTGACCCTGGTGTCGTGCTCTGCTGCTCCAGCTCCCCACCTACCACGATTTACCTGGTCCGGGTATCGCCGGTCTTGAGTGTGAAGCCCCTGTCTGGGGCCCACAGGCCTCCAGGAGAGACACAAAATAGTGGCACCTAAGGAGGGTGTCTTGTAGTCTCGGAGGAGAGACCTGTGGTGTGGATAACCCATGTTAAGGGGCCCACTGAGTTCCGGTAAGTGGAACGAAGATGTAGGTGAATCTTGCTATGGGGGTCATGTCCCACAGCAAGAGGTGCCAGCTGGCCCTGGTGCCCCTGAGTAGTGGACATTGTACTGGACGCCCACGACCGCGTTGTGACGCCAAGCTGTGCGGATTTGCACAATTACTCTTGGTGTTCCAATACAGTGATTGTACAGTGACGGCTTACCAGTACCAGCAAGTAGTGATTTGTACACCGTAGTCCTCAGGGAATCCAGTGCATCTTCAATCGTTTAGCCGCCACCACGAGTCCAAACAACACGTGGTGGCGGCTGTTTACAAACAGACCACCACAAAACAGACCTTTGTTTGCAGAAGAAAACTTTCTAATATTTTTCGGCACCTTTGCTTTCTTAGCTTGAATTTGTTTCCTCTTGAAGTTGCTGGTCACAGGAATTCCTCTTTGGCAGTTTGGTTGATTTCTGTTAGTATTTTGTAAGTGGTGATCATATCACCTGATGACCAAACCACACACCAGAAGACGAAGAGTTGACGACGTTTCGGTCCGTCGTGGATCATTATCAAGTTGATTGTGATGGGAGCGAGGTTGTTTGTTTTTAGATTCAGCTACTGGGAACAAAATGTTGCAAGTAGCACGGGGTATGGTGAGTCCGTAGTGGACTTACTGGCACGGGAGCGGGACAAGTAGCACGGACTATGGTGAGCCCGTAGTGGACTTACTGGCACGGGAGCGGGACAAGTAGCACGGGCTATGGTGAGCCCGTAGTGGACTTACTGACACGGGAGCGGGACAAGTAGCACGGACTATGGTGAGCCCGTAGTGGACTTACTGGCACGGGAGCGGGACAAGTAGCACGGACTATGGTGAGCCCGTAGTGGACTTACTGGCACGGGAGCGGGACAAGTAGCACGGATTATGGTGAGCCCGTAGTGGACTTACTGGCACAGGAGCGGGACAAGTAGCACGGACTATGGTGAGCCCGTAGTGGACTTACTGGCACGGGAGCGGGACAAGTAGCACGGGCTATGGTGAGCCCGTAGTGGACTTACTGACACGGGAGCGGGACAAGTAGCACGGACTATGGTGAGCCCGTAGTGGACTTACTGGCACGGGAGCGGGACAAGTAGCACGGACTATGGTGAGCCCGTAGTGGACTTACTGACACGGGAGTGGGGCTGTAATTGCTAACTGTATCAGGGAGTGAGGGAGGCACGGGCATTAAGGCAAGAGTGAGATGAGGAGCAGATAATTCCTAGAAGAAGGTAAGAGTAAGGCGAAAGGTAAGAACAGGAAGAAGGGTACGAATGAGGTGAAGGAAGAATGGCAAGGAAGGAAACTATCAGGATAAAGCGAGCAAGAATGGGACATGTAACAATAAGAGAAATAATAAGAAAACGGAGGGTAGTATTATGTCAGGTCACGTTTGTTAGAAAGGTGAGTGCACTTGAGAATCCAACCCGTCCTCTTAAAAATAACGTCACTTTTCGCTGGTATGCGCTATGGCCAAAAGTGGACGTAATTTGAAATGAAATCGACTCACAAAAGTGACGTACTGTTCCGTTTTCTGTTTGAGTCGTCCGGCTTACTCGGAAAGGTTAGGAGAGGAAACTTTCAATTAACGTTTTGAAACTTTATGAGAATTTCCTGCCCACCTAACCTATCAGAGGACCCTTAACTTACTGTTGTTGAAAAAAAAATTATTTTCATTTTTTTCATTTTCAAATTACGTCCACTTTTAGCCATACGGGTAAACGGCCAAAAGCGACGTTATTTTTAAGAGGAGAGGTTGTCTCTGTACTGTGAAAGGGAATGGCAACACAGCCAGGACTGAGGTTCATGTTGGGCAGGTCAGAGGCGTGTCGACAAGACGGCGTCTGTGTAGAGGCAGGAAAGATTATTTTAGAAGAAAACCAATCAATAGGATGATTAGATTCTTAACATGACATTAGAATCCCCTTACTCCCCCATCACAATCGACTTGATAATGGTTCAAGACGGACCCAAACGTGGTCGTCTCCTCGTCTTCTGGTGTGTGGT